CAAGTGGGCACAAATTGAGTGCCAGTCCCAGGAGGAAAAAATAATAATTACACCACCCACATCATATACCCTGAGAAGCACTGCCCTAGGGAACTATTTTATCTTTTGGTGAGTCATTGTCCTGAATTTTGTCAGGTTAAAAGACATGAGTAAGTTCCATTATTCATGTGGCTGAATGATTGAGCCACTGTGCAACACATGTATTCAATTCATGGTTGTGTAAGTGGTATTCCTCATGTGTAACCACTTCTTAGGTGATCCCTGGATGTCCGAGTAAGATTGTCCTCCAACTGCAGTGTCCTGGCAGTGGGTACATAGGTGACTGTGGAACCCTATTCTTGACCCATATGTTCTGTAGTGAGAGCATCTGTTTCCAGGTGGAAGGTTGTCCTGGTCGGGGATGGCTTGACACGCCTTCCTCTAGGCATGTTTCTCTCTTTTGCACTCCGTTCGTGCCTCTTCAAATTCTACAGCACTGCTGGTCACAGCTGACCTCCAGCTAGAGTGCTCAAGGCCCAGGGCTTCCCAGTTCTCGGTGTCTATGCAACGGTTTTTAAGGTTGACTTTGAGCCCATCTTTAAATCTCTTTTCCTATCCACCAACATTATGTTTCCTTTTCTTGAGTTTGGAGTAGAGTAACTGCTTTGGGAGACGGTGATGGGGCAGTCAGACAACATGGCCACTCCTGCGGAGTTGATGGCGGAGGAGCATTGCTTCAGTGCTGGTGGTCTTTGCTGCTTCCAGCATGCTGACATTTGTCTGCCTGTCTTCCCAAGAGATTTGCAGGATTTTTCAGAGGCAAAGCTGATGGAATTGTTCCAGGAGTTGCATGTGGCCTCTGTAGACAGTCCAGGGCAGACAGGGCATCGGTTTCCAGGTGTAGACCATGTTTCGCAGGCATATAGCAGGGTTGGGAGGACAATAGCTTTATAAACAAACACCTTGGTATCCCTACAGATGTCCGGATCCTCAAACACTTCATATGGACCTAAATCCTGTTACTAATCCCAAACAAAGCCAACAAATAAATTGACTGAATACATCTGATCAATATCAGTGTATTCAGTAGGATTCCAATATTGCTCATTGGTATGTAAATTATTCATCGCTACCATAAATATACCATTAAATTCACTGGGATTGCATGGGCAGACAACAATGTCAGATGCACAACACTGGTGTTCAGCAGAAGAGCAGTGTAGCACCACCACTGTGCAATTACGAGAGTATGGGTTTATGTTTTGCAAATTTTATATAGGATCTAAGTTACTATCTTCATTTCCCAAGTAAGATTTCATCACTCCCTCCCACTCCACTCGATCGAGTGCCTTTCATGCAATGTGTCAACACTAAGAATCAAATCTTTTCAGAAATCCTTATCTACAAATCCCGAAAATCCCAATGCTTTCAGGATTTGTATCAAAGCACTTTTATCATCGTCGTCATTATTTGTTGGAAGCTGTGATAAATTACTGCATAAGAGCTTGATTTTCTTTTATTATCAGTAATATTTGTTGTGAGCAATGATAAACGATTGCATAAGGACATGATATCTCTGCTATTAACTGCAGTTCACATAGAAATTGCCAGATGGTAAAATAAAATCCTTGATAGATGTAATAGGAGGAACTGGCTCAACGCGATCTGACTGACTGCGCTCCTAGAGAAACTAACACTGAACGGCTCAAGGAGCTGATTAAAAAACCGAATTTTCAGATATATAGGGTCTTTTCTTTTTACTCATATAAACAAGGATTATTTACCATATGGTCTACTTGTCTTTCACATTAAGTGCCGGAAATGTGCTGTTTAAGTATTTTAATTTGACTGCTTTCAGATGGAGGGAATGTTCAGCTTCTATTCTAGAATGACTGTTTCCTATTATGATAAGCATGGTATTTAGACTGATGAACTGTTATTGTTATTTAGCATGGTGGCAGGAATACTGTTGGTTAGTCCCAATTAGAGTAGATCCATTCATAGTATCATAGAATCATTGAGTTGGAAGAGACCTCGTGGGCCATCCCCTCCAACCCCTGCCAAGAAGCAGGAAAATCGTATTCAAAACACTCCCGACAGATGGCCATCCAGCCTCTGTTTATCCAGCCTCTGTTTAAAAGCCTCCACCACACCTCCTCCATTCAATGAATTGTGGAATGATAACTCTACACACATGTAAATCCTTTCAATGTAATGGGTCTATTTTAGTCGGGACTAACAACAATTCAATCTCATTGAATCATAGAGTTGGAAGAGACCTAGTGGGCTATCCACAAGTCCAACCTCCTGCCTAGAAGCAGGAAAATCACATTCAAAGCACCCCCAACAGATGGCTGTCCAGCCTCTGCTTAAAAGAAGGAACCTCCATCACACCCCAGGGCAGAGAGTTCCACTGCTGAACAGCTCTCAAAGTTAGCAAGTTCTTCCTCATGTTCAGGTGGAATCTCCTTTCCTGTAGTTTGAAGCCATTGTCCTGCGTCCTAGTCTCCAGGGCAGCAGAAAACAACCCTCCATGTCCATCATGTCTCCTCTCAGCCTTCTCTTCTGCAGGCTAAACATGCCCAGCTCTTTAAGCCTCTCCACATAGGGCTTGTTCTCCAGACCTTTGATCATTTTAGTCGCCCTCCTCTTAACACATTCCAGCTTGTCAATATCTTTCTTAAATTGCGGTGCCCAGAATTAGACACAGTGTGATTCCAGGTGTGGTCTGACCAAGGGGTAGTATGACTTCCTTGGATCTAGACACTATGCTCCTATTTATGTAGGTCAAACTCCCATTGGCTTTTTATGCTGCTGCATCACATTGTTATCTATTCAATATTGTTTTCTTTCTAGCTTTATTTAGGCTCAACTTTTTGGGGGACCTTGTTACTTTTATTGCTGAATGATTTGCAATTAATAAATGAGAAATGCAAAAGATCTGAGACTACAACTGAGATACAAAGAAATGTTCCTAAAGAGCAAGCTTGTTTACGGAAACTATTGTATACTTATAGATAGAAATCTGAACCAGGAAAAAGCTTCCTTCCACTGCTAAAATAATTAGGCTTTATTTATTTATTTATCTTTGGGTGAGAAGGGTGGGATATAAATACTATAAATAAATAAACAAACAAATAAATTTCCACAGCCTGTTGACCCGATATGGTATTACATGTCTAGACCTCCTGGCTTCAATCCATAAGAAGTTGTGGGCATAAATATTTATCTCCAATATTCAACATTGGCTATTTGGTTAAAGGTAAAGGTAAAGATTTCCCCTTCACATTACGTCTAGTCATGTCCGACTCTGGGAGGTAGTGCTCATCTTCATTTCTAAGCTGAAGAGCCGCCATTGTCCATAGACACCTCCAAGTTCATGTGGCCGGCATGACCTCATGGAGCACCATTACCTTCCCACCAAGGCGATACCTATTGATCTACTCACATTTGCATGTTTTCGAACTGCTAAGTTGGCAGAAGCCGGGCCTAACTGTGCTCACCCCACTCCCTGAATCCGAACAGCTGACCTTTCAGTCAGCAAGTTCAGCAGCTCAGCGGTTTAACCCATTGCACCACCAGGGCACTGCCCATGGCTATTTGGTTATCCATGTATAACTAAGTAAAGGTGGCCCAGCCTCATCTTCTGAGCCCACCTTAACAGCCAACAGCCACATGGGATGATGGAGATCTGTTCATCTCCTGATTAGGGTTCAAGGCGGATGTTTCAAGCTTCCTTCTGCCAGTGTCTGAGGCCGTCATGAGGAATTGTGCACAAGATCCTGCTTTTGACTGATGCAGCCTCACTTGCTGATGGGAGAGGAGATGGAAACATCCTCCTCCTTGTGCTCCATTCAGCAGCTGAAGAATAGACCTCCTTTACTTGATCTGAAGAGGCGGGAAGAGGGGCCGACCAAGGGCAAGATGGATGGATGGGATCTTCGAAGCGACTGGATTGACCTTGAAGGAGCTGGGGGAGGTGACGGCCGACAGGGAGCTCTGGCGTGGGCTGGTCCATGAGGTCACAAAGAGTCGGAAACAACTGAACGAATGAACAACAACAACACCTTGATCTGACTGCTGGCTGTTAAGGTGGGTCGAACCAACATTTATGCATTCTTCCAGTAAGACTGTTTATCTGACTGTGGAGAAGTTACAGATCCGCAACTCCTAGTTACTGCAATACAAAATGCCAGCCATTATTAATATCCTTTGCAGCGCTAGAAACTCAATGTTATTGATTTTAAAAAGAAAAAAGTGAGATGATTTTTTTTAAAAAATGTTCATTACTGCATTACATAGAGTATTTCACTTGTTTGATTTGATCTATATCCCATTTTTGTTTGAGTATAAGAAGGGCTCCTTGGTGGTGCAGCGGGTTAAACCTCTAAGCTACTGAACCTGCTGACCAAAAGGCTGGCGGTTCAAATCTGAGAAGCAGGGTGAGCTCCCACAGCCTGTTGACCTGATTCTGCCCAGATTCTGCCAACCTAGCAGTTTGAAAACATGCAAATGTGAGTAGATCAATGGTTACCTCCTTGGCGGGAAGGTAACAGCGTTCCATGCTGGCCATATGACTTAGGAGGTGTCTATGGACAATGCCGGTTCTTAGAAATGGAGATGAGCGCCACCCCCCAGGGTCAGACACGACCAGACTTAATGTCAGGGGAAACCTTTACCTTTACTATGAGACCCAAGATCTAAAAAAGTATTTAAAAATTATGTTTCATCTAAAATTAAACAAACATTCATATTAAGAAACACTAAATTGTAGTTTTCAAAAACATTGAAACATAGGTTTTTTTAAAAAAAAAAGCTTAATAAAGGGAATTAAAATATACCATTACGACTTAAATTTAACAGCTTGCGTCAAAGGCTTCTGTGAATAAACCCAAGTTCTAATTTGCACAATATTTGCCTTCTCTCATTGACACAGAAACCCTGTTTGCGCAGAATGGATGTAAGAATGGGGAACAAAGGAGACATCCTCTGCCCCCCTCCCTCCCTCCAGCCTCCCTTACCTTTCAGCTGCCGCCAAGTTACGGTTGGCTCCGGTTTCCCCATCGCAAGGCAGAGCAGATTCACGTTGCTTCCCTCATTCACGGTCACAGCGGAGGAGATGTTGACAATCCGTGCTGGGACTGGGAAGGGATGGAGGAGACCAGCAGTGAGTATCAAAGTCGTATCGCTAGCTAGTAACACCAGGGCTCAATACTGAGACTGCACAGATGGCAAGAGGGTTCCTCTGCAACTCTTACAAAACGTCTTCTAATTCTGACCTCTTAGCGAACTTCTTTGCCATTTCTCCTAATAAGTGGGGAAAACTGGACCAACACGATGTGGTCTCTGGTTGGGCACAATGAGATCTCTGTAGTACAAAACCTCTAGAGCAGTGGTTTGCAACCTGTGGGTCCCCAGATGTTTTGGCCTTCAACAGCTGGTAAACTGTCTGCCCTAGAGGTCATAATGGAGAAGGTTGGTGCAAGGCAACCAAACAATTTGGGGTTGCTGTCAATCCAATCCCACTTTAGTTGGCTCAAAGAGTTTCTACCAGACCAGCTTTATCTTTACCTTTTAATCCATTTATTGTAAACTAGCTATACCCGCCATGCGTTGCTGTGGCCAACCTTCCCTCCCTCTTTCTCTCCTTCCTTTTTTTTCTTTTCTTCTCTCCTTCKGTCCTCTTTCTCTTCCCTTCCTCCCCTCTTTTCTTTCCCTTCCTTTCTCTCCTTTCTTCCTTCCCTACCGATTCTTGGACTGCAACTCCCAGCAGTCTTCCTGATYGATCTATCTACCTACCTACYCATCTCTATCTAATCTATCTGGARGATTRTTGGGAGTTGCAGTCAAGGAATAGGAAATTGGAAATATGCAGGGATTGGGGTGCTCTCAAAGAAATCCAAGGAGAAGAAAGCTTGCMTCTTGGAAGCAKTGCATTTRGATCATCCTCCTCTCCTAAAGGGTCTGGTCTAGGGGATGCTGGGAGCTGTAGTYSGGAAGAGAGTGTGGATATGGTATTGTGTGTTTTGTTTGCCGGGGGAGTTTATGCGCATGTGCTGTAGTGTATTTTTGCTTTTTTGGATTTTAAGTCCTSTCTGCTGTGTTTTTCATTGTTTTTATGAATGATAGTCACTTGTTGGCCTGAAAGGTGTATTGTGTCCAAATTCCRTGTCAATTTGTCCAGTGGTTTTTGAGTTATGCTAATCCCACAAACATTACATTACATTTTTATTTATATAGATGTTTTAACTCTATGGGCCGTTTTACTGCCTTTTAATAATAACTGTTTGTGTGTTCTTATTTATTTATTTTCTGTGCATTTTTTAACGTTGTTAACTTGTCCAGAGACCAGTTTTGGGAAAAATGTGTGGTACCATTGAAGAAATCATCATCACCATCATCATCTGGACAAGGGACCCAGCATAAGGAGTTGGAATGTGAATCTCTGATTATTTCATCCTTGGGTTGCTGTGAGTTTTCCAAGATGTATGGCCATGTTCCAGAAGCATTCTCTCCTGACATTTTGCCCACATCTATGGCAGGCATCCTCAGAGGTTGTGAGGTCTGTTGGAAACTAGGCAAGTGGGGTTATTAATCTGTGGAATGTCCAGGGTGGGAGAAAGTACACTTGTCTGTCTGAGGCAAGTGTGAATGTTGCAACTGCTACATTCAACAAATACTATGCAAAGGACAAGAGGGATCCTCTCACCTCTGCAGGAGTCTACTATATACCATGTCACTTTGGACAAGTATACATAGGGACCACCCAACACAGCATTGCCCAGAGAACATGAAAGACACTGCAGACTCATTCAAGCAGAAAAGTCAGCCACAGCAGAGCACTTGAGGAACAACCCAGGCACAGCAAATTATTTGAGAATATAGAAATACTGGACCACTCTAATAACTAACATGGTTTTCTTTTTCTGCGTCAGAAGCAACTTGAGAAAGTGCAAGTTGTTTCTGGTGTGAACATGAACAAAATCTGGCTACCAATATTTTTTTTTTTAAAAAAACCCTCTAAAACCAGGACAGTAAATAAAGAACAACACTCAGAAAATTGGGGAATTCCGGACATGAAACAATAAGGGCCAGCTAAACACCTCCCAACAAAGGATTCCCCCAGGCAGGAAGCAGCCAGGCTTTGAACCTGCAAGGCTATTCAATGCTAATCAAGCTGGGTCATTGCAACATTCACACTTGCCTCAAACAGACAAAAGTTCTTTCTCCCACCCTACCATTATTCAATGCTATGGATTCCTAGACATTGTAGCTTGGTGAGACACCTATACTCCTTGGCAGAGAAGGCTGAAGACCCTATATAACTACAAACTCCTATGAATCCATAGTACTGAGCTATGAAAGTCAAACTGCATTAATTCTACAGTACAGATGCACCCTAAGATGTAGCGTTCATTCATCTACCCACCACTGTCTTCCCATTCTAATAATGGTGTTTGCCTTGGTTTGTCATAAATTGCTGTCCCACCACAGAAACAGCTGCATTTGGAATGCCTCCTCAGCACAACTCCATAACCACTGCCTTTTGGTGGGGAAGGGGGGTTGATGCGTAATTTCCAAGAGCAACGTTTCACTGTCCCAGCGGAAGAGAGTCTTCTCTCAAAGACATGGTTTTCATTTTGTCTCGACTGGGCCTAATGATCCCCATTATTTGTCCTGATAGGTTGGACTCAGGAGGGTGGGTGACGTCAGTGATGTGGGACGATGGGGAAGCGGGGAACAGCTGTTTCCTGGTGCCCAGGCGGGTGCTCAATCCGGACCCGGTCCAATCAGCTCCTATTGTACCAGGTTCCCAGCTCCAGCAACCATGGGGAAAAAGAGCGGGGAGTAATTATGGGGTGGAGAGTATTGCAGTTGCAGCTTTTGCCAATGCTGCAGAAATCCAGGAGGGGAATCAGGGAAGGAAGGGAAAATGAAAGAAAGTGGAGGAGGGAAGGAAAAGGAAAGTAAGTCTTGGGATGATTTTGACAGCTGGTGAGAAATTCCAATTCGCTAAAAACAAAATTCAGGCTTCTCATGGCATGCAGTGACATGGGCAGGTGGCTGTGGGACTCTTTTCTTAGATATACACACAGGATAATCAAATGCCACCTTGCAGGCTTTCCATGACTTGGTTGGTTACTATTTTTTTAAAATGGCAATTGCAGGTGGAGGAGCTAGTTAATGTGTTCCATCCCAGAGACCATGTTGTTTTCACTAAAAAGGCAAATGGAAGTTTTAGGTGCAAAATTTACATTGGGAGTAGAGCAGAGTCAAAGAATGGTAGAATCTTGGGAATGATGCAGTAGTAGAATCTTGAGTTGGAACTTAAGACTTAATTATTCCCACAATTATTTATCTATTTATTTATTTCCTGTATTTATACCCTGCCATTCTCACCCTGAAGGGGACCCAGAGCGCCTTACAATAGGCAACAATTCAATGCCACATAAAGCAGGCATATAACAAAATATAAATCTTCATTAAAAACGTAAGATTAAAAACATATAAACATTAAAACCAAATTTGAAAAACCACAAAATCTGAAATCATAATCAAGGAGCTGTTCCAGTTGCACATATTCCATCCTCACTTATTGCACTGCTTTAATATCCAAAGGCCTGGTCACACAGCCATATTTTTAGTTTTTTCTGAAGTCAGGAGAGAGGGAGCTGACTGGATTATGTTGGAGAGAAAGTTCCATAGCCAAGGGGCCACCACAGAGAAGGCCCTGTCCCTCATCCTCACCAACTACACCTACAAAAGAGGTGGGACCGAGAGCAGGGCCTCCCCAAAAGATCTTAACCTCCAAGATGGTTCATAGAGGGAGATACGTTTGGACAGATAAGCTGGGCAAGAACTGTTATGGGCTTTATAGGGTAAAGCCAGCACTTTGAATTGTTTTCAGTAGCAGCCAGTGGAGATGACATAACAGGGGACTTGTATGCTCCCTGTACGCCACTCCGGTGAGAAATCTGGCTGATGCCCATTGGACCACTTGAAGCTTCTGAACAGTCTTCAAAGGTAATCCCAGGTGGAGTGTGTTGCAGTAGTCTATTCGAGATGTAACAATAGAATGGACCACCGTGGCTAAGTCTGGCTTCCCAATGTGCACAAGTTTTAATTGTACAAAAGCTCATTGCTGAGACCCGTGGTTTGAGACACAGCAATGAATCCAGGAGAACTCCCAAGCTGTGAACCTGTGTCTTCAGGAGGAGTGTAATCCCGTCCAGCACAGGCTATAACCCTATACCCTGTTCGGCTTTCCAACTAACCAGGAGTAAATCCATTTTGTCTGGATTCAGTTTCAATTTGTTTGCCCTCATTTAAACCATCACAGCTGACAAGCACCAGTTCTGGGCCTGAACAGCCTCCTTAATAGTAGGTGGAAAGGAGTGATAGAGCTGTATGTCATCTGTATACAGATGTCATCAAACTCCAAAACAAGTTTGGAAGTTAAAAGAAAATACCTCAATTTGTGCGAGTCCTGCTCCAGATGATCAAGACAGTTTTAAACAATGTATTTTAATATTGAGACACATGTTTTTAATGTTTATGTGTACATATAATGAATTCATGACCTGGCATTCAACGTTTGATGTATATATGATGTGCTCTGCCCTGAGTCCCCTTTGGAGTGAGAAGGGTGGAAAATAAATGTTTTAAATAAATAAATAAATAACCTTCCCCTTGAGGCTAAAAGTTGTAAACTTGAAAACATATGGATTTCATAGAATTATAAAGTTGGAAGAGATCCCAAAGGCCATCCAGTCCAACCCCATTCTCCCATGCAGGAATGCCCAGTCAGTCTCTGCTTCAAAACCTGCAGAGAAGGAGACTCCAAGGCATTATATTCCATGGCAATATATTCCATGCCAAACAGCTCTTAACATCAGGAAGTTCTTCCTAATGTTTGGGACAAATCTCTTTTGAACTAGGGAGGCAAATCTTTGGCTGATTCAATGTTGCAGCAAGAATGAATAATTACAGGAGTTACTGTTGTGTTTTCAGTGCTGTGGGTGAAAACAAACATGTATCCTGTATTTGAACAACCCAAAATATTGTGAAGTAATTATTATTCATAGAACAAAACAAGGGCCACAGAAGTTCAAATACTTTTTGGGACAATAATCCGGTTTCTACATGAAAAAAATGGTGTACATAGAAACTAGGTTTTTGCACCCCTCTCTCAATTTAAAATCTTGAGAACCCAGTTAATAAATATTCTCTCTATCTAGTTTACATATGACTGTTGGAGAAGTTCCCTAACCCTGCATGAAAGCTAAAAGATTAGACATTTTTTTTGGACAGATCTGGACGAAAACCCATGAGTTTTCAGATTCGGGTATCGTCATATTTTTTTCCGCCCACCCTCTTGTTTCTAGATCAGAGTTTTGCTCTCCGTATACTGGACTGCAACCTCTATATGTCACATCTACTTTGCACAATGGTGTGGTCTGATGAGAGTTGCTATCCAACCAAATCTGGTGAGCCACATTTTCCCCATTCCTGTTTTACAACCTTTATTTATTTACATGGATGAGACTTCCTGGCCAAGTGAGATAGCACTGGAAGCACTGATTATACCATCAGTTATCTTGGGATAACAACCCTTAAATTCAATGCATCCACTGCTTAATTTATATACCTGGGAGATTAAAAAAAGGTCTGTTGTGATCTGATGGAAAGTCCATAAACTTTGTCCCAGGTTGGAAACAGCTTCATTTGGAATGGTCTGTCTTACTTCCAGGTCAAGATAAATTAAGCAATAGCAGGATGACTTGCCTCCTATGGGGAGTGTAATTTATAGCCCATTGGCTCTGATGAACAACCCAAGGTAGCTAGCGAATATGTGGAACTAAATACTCTAAAATACTTTTCATAGAGCAAGAACGAGCACCATATGTATTCTGAGGGGCTCACCCCACTGCATTGCTCACATACCTAACCTAGTTTAGGCCCAAGTTACCCTTTCTTTTTGTTCTCCAAATCTGGAGAAATGTGACCATTTCTGAAGTTGGGCTTTTAAAATGTGTTGGGCAAGAAGTTCAGAAACATGTAAACAAAGAAATATGCCCTATTACAGTGGTTCTCAATCTTCCTAATGCCGCAACCGCTTAATACAGTTCCTCATGTTGTGGTGATCCCCAACCATAACATTATTTTTGTTGCTACGACATAACTATAATTTTGCTACTGTTATGAATTGCAATGTAAATATATGATATGCAGGACCAAATTTGGCACAATTACCCGATACACCCAAATTTGAATACTGGTGAGATTGGAGGGGGGGGGGGGGTTGGGTTAATTTTATCATTTGGGAGTTGTAGTTTTTGGGAATTTTAGTTCACCTACAAACAAATAGCATTCTGAACTCCACCAACAATGAAATTGAACCAGACTTGGCACACAGAACTCCCCTGACCAAGAGAAAATACTCGAAGGCTTTGGTGGGCATTGACCTTCAGTTTTGGAATTGTAGTTTACTGCCATCCAGACAGCACTGTGAACCCTCAATATGCCCAAATGTGAACACTGGTGGAGTTTGGGGAAAATGAACCTTGGCATTTGGGAGTTGTAGATGCTGTGATTTATAGTTCCCACACAGAACCCCCATGACCAACAGAAAATACTGTGTTTTCTGATGGTCTTTGATGACCCCTCTGACACCCCCTTGTGACCCCCCCAGGGGTCCTGACCCCCAGGTTGAGAAGCGCTGCCCTATTAAGTCCTTTGCAGGCACAAATGTCAGTATTTTAATGTATTGTTCAAGGCTTTCATGGCCGGAATCACTGGGTTGTTGTAGGTTTTCTGGGCTGTATGGCCATGCTCTAGAAGCATTCTCTTCTGACGTTTCACCTGCATCTGTGGCAAGCATTCTCAGAGTTTGTAAGGATGCTTTCCACAGATGAAAGTGAAATGTCATGAGAGAATGCTTCTAGAACCTGACCATATAGCCCAAGAAACCTAAAACAACCCAGTCAGTATTTTAATCTCTACCCGTCTTTTAGGACAGGGAAATTTGTGCAACCTTTGGTTTCAAAATTCCGATCAGATACCTTCAGAACTACAGGAAAACAAACCTATCTTTGGTTTTAATGCCAGCTGTTTGGGTATAACAGCTATTCTGGAAAGCTGCTCCAGGTTGTACAGGGGCTATCCAGGTGCTGAATCTACATTGGAAATAAGAGTTTAGCACCTGGATAGACTTCAGCACTTGGATAGCTCCCTTGCAATCCATTGCTTGATGTGAAGGAGCTACAATTGAAACACAAGAGCCAATATTAAACGGAAAGCACATCCCCGCCCTGCAATTTTGGAGTCACCAGTTCTATCTGCGCCTCTCTCCCTTCACAAAATGGCCCAATAGCTTCCTTGAACAAGCATTTTGAAAGCTTTCTTATGTTCCCCATTCAGTCTAATTCTCCAATTATTTCTACACTTTGGCTCTTCAAAATGTTTCAGCACTTTGGCTCCCAGAATTTCCCAACTCTTCTACTCCTTCAGCATTAAGAAAGAGTGGCTCGAAGGAAGGGAGGGGGATCATAACGCAAAGGGAATACTCTGTGCTTTGAACTCCGTGGTGCTTCCATTTGAATGGAAAGAAGCATGCAAGACGATACATCAAGAGATTTAAGAGATGAAAGTGCTATGCTATCTGTAGTGTTTGGAAAAGTTACTCTTTGAACTACAAATCCCAGAAATTATTGGCTATGATGGCCATCAGACTCAGGGAGTCATAGTTTAAAAATATTTTGATAAGGATCTAAATCTTTAAATATGTCATAATGTATAATTATCATATTTTTCCCTGCTCCACACTATTCCCATATTCAAATATTCTGATATATTGAGGAATGGTTATTCTGAGGAGAAAGCTACCCCCCGCCCCACCTTTTTCCCAGAATAACTGCATTCTGTGCAGCGTAAAATATTTTCTGTGGAAGAAACTAGTTTTCAGTGCAGAAAACAGTTTTGTGCAAAGCTTATTTTTACACATACCACTTTGCAGTGCAGAATAATTCCTCTGAAACACTTCAGGATGTTGTATACCAAGAGAAAAATGTGCAAAATCGTCCTTTACCTATTATTTTCCTGGATGATTCCCCCCCCCCCCCAAGTGTTACAAAACTTGCTTTTTTTCAACCTGGAGCTGAATATTTATAAGCATTCTCCTATCTCTAGTTTGCAACAATTGACCTTGTTCTGTTCAGTGGGGGAAAGCAGTCCAAAAGAGCTATAAATTTCTATAAACATGAAAATAAAATGGATTTCAAGTAGGACATTGACAAGCTGGAATGCGTCCAGAGAAAGGTGATGAAAACGGTCAGATATCAGGAGATCATGATTCCCTGTGAGGAGTGCTGAGGGGTTTGGGGATGTTTCACTTGGAGAAGCGAAGGATATGAGGGAACGTGCTAGTAATCTATACAATAAAAGTGAAAATATGTATATGTAGCTGGGGTGTCCACTTACACAGACATGTTAAGGTTAAGGGAGAGACAGTGAGTAGGGTCATGCAAATTTTACACCATTGGAGAGAGTCAGAGACACTGGGATGCCTGTGGTGGAGGAAAAACATACAATCTTGGATGAAATTGCTCCTCTATGAAAGTTTTCACTTGGATAGTGGGCAGTATTGTGGTTGTGGAGGACATTGGCAGAGCTCTTGGACATATTCATGGTATTCACTATAACCTGCAATGTAATTGGAGGAAGGGCTATTGGTGTCTCCTGGGCCGTTTAGGGAACGGTTCTGGCCCAGCTTATCTGTTCAAACATATCTCCCTCTATGAACCGCCATGGTGACTGTTTGGAAGCTACAAATGGTCCAATGAGTGGCTGCCAGATTGCTCACTGAAGCGGCATACAGGAAGCATACCATCTCCCTGTTAGATCAGCAATACTGGCTGCCAATCTACTCCTGAGCACAACTCAAAGTGCTGGCCCTAAAGGGTTCTGTCCCAGCTTATCAGTTCAAATGTATCTCCCTCTATGAACCACCACAAAGTTTAAAATCTTCTGGGGAGGCCCTGCTCTTGGTCCCGCCTTCTTCGCACGTACAGTTGGCGGAGAGGAGAGACAGGGTCTTCTCAGTGGTGGCCCTCAGCTGTGGAACTCCCTTCCCGCAGTGTTAGATCAGCCCGCTCCCTTCTGACCTCCCTTCTGACCTTCCGCAAGACAGTGAAAACGTGGTTTTGTGACCAAACCTTTAAATAACTTGTGCAATAGATAGACTTGGAACAATGTGCCATGACAATTGGAATGGCACGGATTATGCTCATGGATTATGTGTTTAACTCTTAATATATTGTTTTTATTTTTTTAATTGTTTCAATGTATTTTTAAATTCTATTTTAATATGTATTTAAGTGTAGATTGTGTTTTAGGACATTGAATTGTTGCCTGTATGTAAAGCTGCCTTAAGTCACCTCCGGGGTGAAAAAGGTGGCTCTTAAAGTCTCTTCTGCTGTGTTTTTCTTTGTTTTTATGAGTGATGGTCACTTGTTGGCCTGATAGGTGTATTGTGTCCAAATTTGGTGTCAATTTGTCAAGTGGTTTTTTAGTTATGTTAATCCCACAAACATTACATTTTTATTTATATAGATGACCAGCACTTTGTATCTAGCCTGGAAGCAGACCTGCAGCCAATGGAGCTGACGCAACATGGGAGTATTTTTCTCCCTGTGAGGCACTCCAGTTAACAACCTGGCTGCCAATCTCTGTACCAGCTGAAGCTTTCGAACTGTCTTCAAAGGCAGTCCCACGTAGAGAGTACTGCAGTAGTCCAAGCGGGATGTAACTAAGGCGTGGGCTACCATGGCCAAGTCTAGCATCTCTATCATAGAAGAATTGCTTGGAAGCACCTTAGTTCTCTTGGATTATCACAATTCTATCTCTTCCCTAAGAGCCTACCATGAACGATGAGGTACACCTGTGAGGTGTGGGGCTTGTCTTGCGTCTGGAAGGAACAGGTGTAGAGCCCTTCGTCGTACACGTCGACGTGAGTGATCATGATGCTGAACTCCGAGGGGGTGTAGGTTAGCAGCTCCACACGGGAGTCGATGGACCACTTGTCATTGCCAGCGTAGAGGATATTGGAGCGGTTCAACCAGGCAACACGTGTCACTTGCTGATCTATGTAGCAGCTGTGGAGAAGGAAGAGCAAGGAGAGAGGATAAGTGGCAGAACAATGAGAAAAAAGGCTAGAGTTCACAATGACAACATTTCAAGTCTGCTTTAACTGCCTTCACTCCATCCTATGGAATCCTGAGATTTATAGTCTGTCGAGATACTTAAAATTCTCTAGTGTACTCCTTTGAACTATAGTATCATAGTTCTCTAAGCATCTCACAAACCTACAAATCCCACAATTCCATAGGATGGAACTGGAAACATTTAAGTGGTATTAAATTTATTTATCTGTGTAGTCTGAACACATAGAATCATAGAATCATAGAGTTGGAAGAAACCTCATGGACCATCCAGTCCAACTCCCTGCCAAAAAGCAGGACAATTGCATTCAAAGCACTCCTGACAGATGGCCATCCAGACTCTGTTTAAAAGCCTCCAAAGAAGGAGCCTCCACCACACTCCAGGGCAGAGAGTTCCACTGCTGAACAGCCCTCACAGATAGGAAGTTCTTCCTAATGTTCAGGAGGAATCTCCTTTCCTGTAGTTTGAAGCCATTATTCCACATCCTAGTCTCCAGGGCAGCAGAAAACAAGCTTGCTTCCTCCTCCCTATGACTCTCCCATATTTATCCATGGCTATCATGTCTCGTTTCAGCCTTCTCTTCTGCAGGCTAAACATGCCCAGCTCTTTAGGCCACTCCTCATAGGGATTGTTCTCCAAACCCTTGATCATTTTAGTCATTTTAGTCACTCTCCTCTGGACACATTCTAGCTTGTCAACATCTCCCTTCAGCCATAGTGCCCAGAATTGGACACAATATTCCAGGTGTGGTCTAACCAAGGCAGAATAGAAGAGTAGAATGACTTCCCTGGATCTAGACACTAGACTCCTATGGATGCAGGCCAAAATCCCATTGGGTTTTTTTGCCGCCGCATCACATTGTTGGCTCATGTTTAACTTGTCCACAAGGAGTCCAAGATCTTTTTCACACGTACTGCTCTCGAGCCATACGTCCCCCATTCTGTATCTTTGCATTTTATTTTTTCCACCTAAGTGGAATATCTTGCAATTGTCCCTGTTGAACTTCATTTTGTTAGTTTTGGTCCATCTCTCTAATCTGTTAAGATCGTTTTGAATCCTGCTCCTGTTCTCTGGAGTATTGGCTATCCCTCCCTTTGGTGTCATCTGCAAACTTGATGATTATGCCTTTCAATCCTTCATCTAATTCATTAACATCCTTTCTTTGTTTTCTCTTCTTTTTACATTCAACTTTACTTCTTTCCACATTCATTTATTTTTAAACAACAACAACAACAACAATTTTATTGATTAGCCAGTTGGCCTTATCAAAAACAGACAGTGCAGACGCAACATACAACATACATCTAGTCCTCTTAAAATAAAATACAAATATACAGGTAGCCATAGATATATGCATCAACTATCCTCGTCTCCCATACACTGCACCCCAATCTGACCTATGTACTCCAATCTCCTTTTAGCAGTTTTAAACAAATAAAGGGCAACTTTTGTTGTCAGAATGGGGTTATAACCAGCCAACAAAAATGAAGTTTTGGCCGCTGTATCCCAACTTGTTTTATTGCAAATAAAAGGCCATAAGTATTGTTTCCTTTCTTTTTCATATAGATTGCAGTGATGTAAAGTGTGATTCAGATTTTCGACTTTGGGGGCACCACAGATACATAGTCTTTCTTCACATGGGATATGATTGAATCTGCCGTATCTCTCCATGGATTCAATTTGTTCAAATCTTGCCCTGGTAAAAGCGGTTCTTAGGTGTCTTGGCATATCAGTTTTTAGGTACGGCGCCGTCTGGAAATGATGTTTAAAGCGCCCTAACCACCTCAAGGATTCTGTGTTTGACAGGGTGGCTATATCTTTCTGGGCTTCAATATCTAGGATCCTTTGCGTTACTGTCCTTTTTTCAGCATCTCTATTCTGGCCTAAGGAGGCAATTTGTAATCCGCAGGTGCAGAGGAATCTTGTTAATTCTTCTGACCAGGAAGCTTGGTTTTGACCATTAAATTGTTCTAAAAAGCACATTGTTTGGAAGTCTATTATTTTCGAGGTTTCTTATTTTAGACCAGTAATTAAAGGCCCTGATTTTAGCAAGTCCTTCGATAGAATATACTTCTAGCTCTACTCTGACTGCAGCAGCAGTGGTCTTAATGTCAACACCAAGTATCTGTCTTAGAAATTTTGATTGTGCTTGTTCCAGTATTGGTAGTTATCATGGGGACAATTTTTGCTTTGTAAACTTTGATTATCGGGGATAAAGATCCAAGATGTATTGTCGAAGGCTTTCATGGCTGAAATCACTGGGTTGTTGTAGGTTTTTTCGGGCTATATGGCCATGTTCTAGAGGCATTTCTCCTTAGGAGAAATGCCTCTAGAACATGGCCATATAGCCCGAAAAAACCTACAACAACCCAAAGATCCAGGGTATTTTTAAACAAATATTTTATCCTTTCTGATTAGAAATGCTTTGCAGATTGTGGCAAAAGCTTCAATATCAGATAAGACTTGGTGCTTTCGGTTTATTTTAGGTCTTTGTTAGACTAAATAGGTAAAGGTAAAGGTTTTCCTCTGACCTGAAGTCCAGTCGGGTCCGACAAGCTCAGCAGCTCAGCGCTTTAACCCACTGCACCACTGAGCTTGTTGACCAAAAGGTCGCAGGTTCAAATCTGGGGAGAAGCGTGAGCTTCCGCTATTAGCCCCAGCTCCTGCCAACCTAGCAGTTTGAAAACATACAAATGTGAGTAGATCAATAGGTACAGCTCTGGCAAGAAGGTAACGGCGCTCCATGCAGTCATGCCGGCCACATGACCTTGCTGGCTCTTCAGCTTAGAAATGGAGATGAGCACCACACCCCAGAGTCGGACACGACTGGACTTCATGTCAGGGGAAAACCTTTACCCTTACCTTTTTAGTCTAACAAAGCCCTAAAATAAACTGAAGGCACCAGGTCTTATCTGATATTGGAAGCTAATCAGGATCAATTTTGGTAAGTACTTGGAAGGGGAACCACCAATGAATATAAGATTCTTTAGGGTATATTTAGGAAGAAGGCAATGGTAAATCGTGTCAAAATATTGTTTGCCTAAAAGAATAAAAAAAGAAAAAATCTAATTAATTCTAATCTAATTATAGTATTGTTGTTTATATTCATTGTGTTTTAATTGCATTGTATTTTAAATGCTTTGAATTTTTAAATATGCAAAAATCTATATGCCATTTATTTTACATAATATGTTTATATTGTATTGATTTAATTTATATGCAAATAGCCTAGGGTCTAAGCATTAATAAACTACCACTGCTATGAAATTTATGGGACTGACATAAATTAACAGGTGACTTGAAGACACCTCTGCACACATACATATTCTAACCAAAATAAGTCCTGCTTCTCTTGAAAAGAGGACATAGAGCAATGGATTCAAATGGTAGGAAAAGAGATTCCACCTAAATGTTGGAAGAACTTTCTGGTGATAGGAGCCATGCAGCATTGGAATATGCCAGGTAAGACCCAAAATCTTGTCCTCGCATCTTACTATTGTTCTGTATTCAAAGTAATAATACTCCATTTCACATTGCCTTCTATCTCTACTGCTGCCACATGAGCTATGCACTTTATCCATCAGCCCTATCCTCACAATTGTTTTTGCACCAGTCTGCCGTCCCGTGACCAGAAACTGATTATTATTGTTCTTTGGTTGGTTTGATGCTAACTTATATATTTTGTTATAATGTTGTTTTATTTTGTTTTATACTGTTGTTGTGTTGATCTGGCTAGTCCCCATGTAAGCCACCTGAGTTCCTTCAGGGAGATGGAGGCAGGGCACAAAAATAAAGTAGTAGTAGTGGTTGTTGTTGTTGTTGTTGTTATTATTATTATTATTATTATTATTATTATTATGCTTTGCAGTAAGGTGGAGTCTTCTTCTATGGAGGTTTATAAACAGAGGCCAGATGGCCATCTGTTGAGAGTGTTTTGATTGTTCCAGAATGGCAAGAGTTGGACTAGATTATTTATTTATTTACTATATTTATATTCCATTCTTCTCACCCTGAAGGGGACTCGGAGCGGCTTACATAATTTGGCACAATTTAATGACACAATTCAAGAATATACAAATAATACAATGCATAAACAATAGAACAAATGAAACACATAAATATCATAAAACTTTAAAACATAGTATCTAGTACCCTTAATGAAGGCCTAAGCCCACTATTCATCCTTTTTAGGTTCCTCCCTCACAAATTTCCTCCCTTTTTCCACTCCTATCTCACCCAGAGTTTTATCATTTTATCTTGTGCATTTGGCCCACCCACTGTATTTGACTTTCTATTATGTTATATTGCACTGTTGTTGTTTTTTTGCACTATTTATTTTATCTTGTTATTTAATGTATTTTACTGTTATGAAATTTTTGTTGTTTTGTATTTTATTTTGCTGTATTATATCTTCAGGCTTGGCCTCATGTTAGCTACCCCGAGTCCCCTTTGGGGAGATGGTATAAATAAAGGTTGTTGTTGTTATTATTATTATTATTATTATTATTATTATTATTATTATTAGCCTGCCATCATCCTTTATGTTGTTACACTATCCCGGATCCATATTGCACTATCCAACCACTTGAATGCATAACCAAATTTTCACCCTTTTTCTAAAGACCTGGAGGGAGGAGGCGAATCTGATCTCACCAAGCAAAGCCATCACGTGACCCACACATTCTTGTGAAATACCGAATATGCTTGAAAATTCTCTCTGAGTGATACGATGATCATCCTGAATCAATCTGTCAATCTTTTGCTTGTGAAAATCAGTAGTTGCTGTCATAGGACGTCCAACTCTTTGTTTGTCACACAAGTCAGATGTTCCCACCTCAACATCTTTAAACTTTCTTGCCCAACAATGCACAGTACTCATATCAACACAATCACCATAAACAGCTTGCATTCTTTGATGAATCTCCTTTGGGGT